ATTCCCATTTGTATTATAGCCTGATCAGAGCCAGTAGAAGACTTCTTTCCATTTTTGCCAATCACTATGACGAACACTTGTGTTATCCCAGGTGCATTTGCTCTGCAACCTACAGTCAACTGAGATGTTGGGTTACTACTGCCGATTGTTATTTGACTTGGTGATGCGGACAGGTTTGCCCCAGTGGCTGTAAAAACAATTACCTGAATTCATAATAATTCAATATAATAGAGGATTGATTGAATCATATAAATATTTACAATAAATACAATATAGCATAGGAACATAGCACTGCGCCGTCTCAGGTACTACATATTCATGGTTTCTGTATTTTGTGCTCCCCCACCCACCCCTGTTACTCCACTGAACGGCTTAATACTGGTAGCGAATCTATTTGTAGTATATGAGATATATCACAAGTACTGTTATCAAATAACATTTCTTCTTTTCCCCATAAACACTAGGTTTGCCTGGCAGCAAGATGCGTGTACCTACTTCTAGAAAGAAGGGTCATGAAGATCAGAAGACAAAAAGGATCACACTGGTACATGCTTCTTTCTAACAGGTCGACTTCCTGTTCTTGCAAATGTAAATGTATGCTGGTAGTAACACCCTAGTATAAGATTAAATTTTCAGATGAGATCTAACAATACCTGTGGATTCCCCGCAGTAATCATTTGCCACACTGAAACAACTTGTCTGTCAAGACATTACATAATACGAGAATGTGTACCTTTGGTTTCGAATATCAATTTCTTGCATGATCAATAACGTACGAAATCGAAACTCCCATCCAGTTTAGCCCAGTGACGTCAGACACACCATAAATAATTTTTGCATTTCCATTACCTATAACATGTTTTATATGATTTTGCTAAAGATAAGATCGATCTGGAGATAACTGATTTCAGTACATAGCATGTAACTAACCGATCTTAAATGAGATTAGTGATTTACATTTTCATATCTGAAGATTGGTTCGGGTGAGTGAGTGAGTTTAGTTTTATGCCACACTCACCAATATTCCAGCTATATGGCTGCGGTCTGTAAATAATCGAGTCTGGACCAGACAACCCAGTGATCAACACCCATGAGCATCGACCTGCGCATTTGGGAACCGATGACATGTGTCAACCAAGCCAGCAAGCCTGACCACCCGATCCGGTTAGTCGCCTCTTACGACAAGCATGGGTTACTGAAGGTTCATTCTAACCCGGACCTTCACGGGTAAGATTGGTTCGGTGAATGAACTGACACAATCAAACAATAAAAGTATGGTAAAACAACAACTGTTAAATATTCTTTGTTTAATGAACGCAATTGAGTTAGATGGATTACATCTGCACTTAAGTTTTAGGAAAGGCATAGCAAAATATTTATCTGGAGAATCATACTTAGCGTCCATGAACAAACTAAATATCAAGTACACGAGCAGCGTTCATTACATAGAAGCAACAAAACCCATTCCACACTCATAAGAAATCTCTGCTAATCTATACAGCAGAGTCAATTGTAAAATTCTGACTCTATCATGAACATATATGTTTGAGCAGTATTACAGCTGTATGATGTTGTTTGTAAACAGTCGCGTCTGGCCCAGACAATTCAGTGATTGTCACCATGTGATACGATGACAGATGTGTTTATGAATCCCCCCGTCATAAACATTATGTAAATCTAGTCACTTGTTAACCTGTAATATTTCGGGAACGTATGGAGCAAGTCAAAATAGGGAATTACTTACAACACTCCGAAAGAAAATAATATTTGCAACAAGCAAACTAATGAACCATTATTTTGTGGAACTGTAATTAGCGTCAGTGGACAAAGCCAGTTACTTGTGTACATAGATACACATTGTAGAACTGTATGCATCAGCTACTGACGTACAGGTAACACGCAGTGCTGATTACAGGTGTGTAAGACGACACACAACAAAGGTCGCGTTCATCACACAGCTTCTCAACAGTCACTGATCATCACAAGTGTAGACAACATCGGTGGATGCATACTACTTTATATGTTCCTGGCTGTCCATATGTGTACAGATACATTGTCGTGTTATTTCATCTGTCAATATAATAAGTAGAAAGGTAGTCATCTGTCGTTTAGAACTGTAGATGTTACACGTCACAACTGAGCTGGGAAGTATAATACTCCCACTTGTATATGTCACCGTACGCACCATTGAGAATCCTACCCTCCACAGTTTACCTCCTTGATCAGTACACTGCTTATAACTTCTACAGTTTACACTCACGCAATGTCTGATAAAACATATCTCAGGTCATCGTGACACAGAGTCAGTGGGGGGAAAGCCTGCGTGTGTCAGTAAGCATACCTTCCAACTGTGGAGGGTTGTTAAGAGTTTGTGTAGTGTTGATGCCAATCATAATATGGACACCAATACGAAGTATTCCCATATTGTCTTTACAGCCATCAATACAATGACTCTTGAAACCGCCATTAGACATCCGATCTGCAGAATATACTTCCTTGTTGTACACACGTGATATAGCTGTGTGATGGCAGGAGTAAAAATATCTTTACAATTCATTGTTTGGGTCCAAGCAACACGATACCGGATTCTAAGTATAGAGGAGATGCGGATTAAGATCGCATTGGGGGTAACCTGCCCAGCGGAGGGTAACGGTGTGTTTTTAAGTTGTAGTCGTGTAGTGGTAGTTATGGAGATCAGCAGACAGAAAAAATTCTGTGTTTGAATGTACAACCGAATTGATAACCATTATACTATACCACCGTCGGCAATATTATAGCTTCATCTTTATACTGTGTCTATGGTCCTTAGAAAATGGTGTGTTGTATATTAAACTTAACAATTTTTGTATGTTTATTATCTTACGTTAATGACGTTACGTAGATGTGTCTGTGTGCAAATGAAATTTCGAGCAGCAACTGTTGTTAAGATCGTAGATTATATCAGTTTCACACACTTCGCGTAGACCGTATTGAATTTCTTTTTTTAAAAACTAACTGATTAATTGTTGAGCATTTCTTACACTCATATCTGTGAGTTTGGTGGCAAATATGTGAATTCTAACTATATCATTGGTTGCTACGTTTACTGATCTATGCAGGTGACAGATATTGATTTGGTGACCAGGCTGGTTGACTTGGTTGATTGCATGTCATTCTACTTAAACAGTAATATCGATCACAGGATTGTCTGGTCCAGTCTCGAATATCTACATACTGCTGAGTGAGATGTTATATATTTCAGCTCTTGATCAGTTTGGATTCATTCGTCGTAAAACGTGTGTAACATACATCTCTTTATTCGTTCCAAACATCAAGGTTGACACCTTGTCATGCCATGGTATCATAATTGCATAGATATATGCTCATGCTGTTGATCACTGGATTGTCTTCTCCATGCTTCATTAATTACAAAGCGACGCCATATAGCTGGAATATTGCGTTAAACAAAAGAAAAAAGCAACACATCAAAGGGTGGTCAGGCCATCAGCCATGTTCAGACCAGTTGAGCACAAACTGAGCATGATAACTGTTCTACAAATCAGTCCATGTTATGTAAGTGAACTTCAGTATCAGGTTAATGTTATTTATTTTTTGTGTATTATAGCAGGGGTGTGACTGTAATTTCAGATGATACAATGTGTTCAAGAGTGAATATAAGAGTATAGGTAAGGTTAACGAATCATGATATGGACCCCAAACCTGCCAGGGTATTGAAGAAACAGGAAGTGAATTTTGCATGTGTTACTGTTGAAACAAAGAGCCTGCCCCATGTCCTGGAGCTGAGATTAAGACAGCATTGGGTCCTAATTCTGCCTTGAGATGAGGTCTGAGCATTATATAATTATTTATATCTAAAGATCTGTACAGAATTACGTTAAAACTGTGTACAGTAATGTATATGAGATACAAAAAAGTACAAATTCTGACTTGAGATGAAAAAAAAGTAAAAATTCTGACTTTGTTTTTATTGTCTATTTGAATTTTCAGCTGAAGCAATATCAACTCATTTATTAATGTAATGGTATTTTATGTGGAAGAACAACTTCTTTATTTACAATGAGGAAGTAGATGTGTAGAAGCTAACACTGTTATCAAGCAGTAGATGTATAAGGTAGTGTAGGGAGGCATATATACAGATATGAAGTAGTGTTTTAACAATAGATTCGATAAGCCTGTTCAGTATACACTGCAGAAGATCTAAGGCAAATTAGGTCCTTGCAAATGAAGCCAGTCGTGTAAACCTACTGCTGGAAACAGAAGTAATACATCTGATTGGAGTCAGTTGATGGCAGGTAAGCTGGAGATGTGTCATACGCTTGGTCACAGTTGGTGGGTGGTTGGAGTCTTTTTGATGGGGATGCCTTCTTGGATTTTTCTCACTATAGTCTTTGAGGTCGTTAATGGAAGCTTTGATTTTGTCCTACTAGAAACTGTTGTTGCAGTTGTCACGGATATGGTCAGATTGGACGAGATTGGACCCTGAACTATGATGTCCTTTAATTCGGGTTTTTTGAGGGGGTCTAGATGTTAGCGTCCGATGTCCGACCAAAAAGCGAAACGCGATTGTTTGTTAGTAGTTGACTTCACTGTCTTCTCGTTTCACACATGCTGGTACGTTCGTATCTTCTCATAAGTGTTGCTGACGTCAGCAGCTCCTCTCTGTAGGCCATCGTAGGTATTCCTGTCAACTGGTACTTCGTACTCGTCGCCTACGCCTACAAGAAACATGTGTAGTAAGTACGTTAACAATGTCCTTCAGACATCCACTCCTTTAACAGTTCAATTACTATGGTCATTTATAGTTCTGCACGTCTATCTCAATGGTGTGAGAGTTATTGTAACACTCACCGTCGGCGATGGTTCATGTCTTTACGCGAATCTGGCTTAAAAAACTGCTAACTAATGACTGAAAGAGGAAGCATGGATTCATGCCTACAGGAAATATTGACAAGATGTCAGCTGATCCATGGACACTGACCAGTTAGTATTTGTTAGCTTGAACACCAAGCATGGAGAACGAGAAGCATGTATGTTCTTGTGTCACTATTTAGGTTCTCTTCTGTTGGACGCTTGTATTGTGATCATGTGCATTGACAAAATCTGACCTTGTGTTTGGATTCCACCAGGTGCGACCACTGTAGCAGGAGCCTGTATGCTGTAGTGGTTGAGAAAAGGATATATTTTAAGGCCATGGTTATTATGCTGCAAAACAGTTTTATTTTTATTTTTACAGAATAAATATGCCTACAAACCTATGAAATTGAAGAGCTCTTCGTCTAGAAACAATTCTCGATCTACAAGTAGGATTTTATTACATTGTGATGAATGTTTGGAAGTTTTAATTCTGGAAAAGGTGAACCTACTTAGAGAATACTGCCTTCTCTGCGTTACTGGTGTCCTTTGGTCCTGTAACAACGGAATATCAGATTAATGAATGGACAAATATAATGACATGCAGGGGCTACCACACATGAATTGTCCCCATGAAGATCACCAGGAACTTCCTCCGACCTACCAACATCCCTTTACTATTTCTAGTTTATTGACTCGGCTGTCTTGTCTGGGCAGAGCTCATCACCTGTGGATTATACAACTGTTGTCGCACGAATTCGTCACTTTCGAACCCTGTAGGTTATCGATGGTCAAATCCACATCCTGATATGTCCTTTTTCTGAACTGCTATAAGTGCTACAATGTCAGAATGGCTGGTATTTGGTGGTTGATCACCAGTCATCGGGGAAGAGTTTAGTCATTATCACATAGCTTCCTTCCACCAAGTGCTGGGTAATCACACCGACTAGAGATACAGGGATGAAACGTAATCCTTGGTGTATTAATAACTCTGAAAGTAGTGCTTGGTAATCACGCTGAGACAGGGATGGGATTCTCCATCTTTGGTGTGGTACCAACTATGAAAGTTATTGGACCAGGAGCCATCTTACAGGACAGCAACGTAAGACTTTATTGAGCTTCAGTGGTCACAGCCTATGAGCAACAAAATAGGATACCGCACGTGTCCTCTTACCCATACGATCGTATGTCAGTCAGATAAAGGTGTGACACACTATTAATGCTATCCAACCATTTGTGACTTTGTCTTATGAGCCTCTGTGGTCCTTACCAACATTCAAACTCTCAGCGCATAGATAACATTATTCATCTTTGCTGTTTTAATGCCGTGCTCCTTATCAAGATTACCATTTTCATCCAGAACAGCATAAATTAAAGTTTAGCTCCATGGTAGAATTCCTGTCCTTGATGGATCGTCATGCGGATGAACGTGCCAAATGTTATATGATTTCCACAGATACATTGAGTGAGTGAGTGAGTGTGGTTTTAAGCCGCTTTTAGCAACATTCCAGCAATATCACTGCGGGGGGACACCAGAAATAGGTTTCACATATAGTACCCATGTGGGGAATCGAACCTTTGGTCTTTGGCGTCACGAGCGAACGCCTTAGCCACTAGGCTACACCACCGCCCCAGGTACATTAAGACCTGTTACAACTATACATACCTTCTTCTGTCTTGAGACATTTAAACATTCCCAAAACATTATCACGTAAAGTACGTACCTGATATGCAGTCTGCTAGTTTGTCCCTGAAGACGAACCCCAAACCCAGACAGATGGCAACAACAACTAGAATCACACACGCGCCTATAGCCACTCCAACACCAAGAGAGGATTCCTGGTTCTCTTGGACACTCGTCGCTGTCATTTGAAACATAAAATGTATTTCTATGGCTACATTACGTTTTAATTTAATTGTATCCCAATGTTGTAATTATGCTCATGGAAACGAATATGAGATCACCTGAAAGTGCAAGTGTTCCTTTATTCTTTTCCAGAATTTCACCCAGTATGCAATACGAAGCTTGTGAAGAAACCTGGAAAAGAATAAATGAATACTTGTTTTTCTAAGTGTTCCCTTATTCGTTTCCATGCGTATATGATATATTGTTTTGCTCTGGTTGTAGAAGGTCAAGCCATTGTGTTTGGTGATACCTAGTTGTCGGGAATGTGTTACTGTATTACGTCAGAAATTGTCGATATTTTGACACTTTTTAGTCGATTCGTTGTCAAGTGTACTCTGGAATCTTCTACATTAACACCGACTGATCCCTCATGTTACAGAAGATTCTGAAAGGAGGTATTTATACCATTTATTTCGGACGATTACAATTACGGAAATGCTTTCGCTTGTCTTCATTGTTTTCAGTCTAAATATTTATCATTGACCAGACGTCAATATATTTTACACGGGTCATAACAAATCTTTTGTAAGAACTATACGCTGCGCCCCCTACCCTCATTTTTAAAGACATTTGGAAATGCATATACCCCCGTTGCATATATCCCCAACACTTTAACATACCCATTTTGGGGTCTTGGAAGACTGATCAGTCCCTATATCGCATTTGTGTCATCATGCCTAACTGAAACGGATCATGACACGATGCCTTGTTTGCTCTGATCTTTCTCAGTGCGTTCAGTCACCTAATCTCAAGGCCCTGACTCAGTTACAGGTCGCATCCATGTGCAATTTATCCCTGTTAAGTATCTGAATGATGAACAGAACACCTGTTGGAAACATCAACCAAAGACGGTTAAGTACCCTCATTATACCTTTCGCTGAACGTATGTACACCAATCGTAGAATGCTGACATGAACAATTCAAGCTCAAACATAAGTCTGTTATCCGAATGGCAACTAAAGCATGCGGAATATGACAATGGATGTGGGATTCCAATCAGAATATTGAAAATGCAATGGTGGGAGTAAGAACAGTGATGCAGATTGAGGGATACCATTGATAAGGGTAAAGATGACGTTATGATTTGAGAATGTCAGTAACGAGTATAGCCACCGTTGGCAGAATTACGTGCCGCGTATTGTAGATGTAAAAATGTCAAGACAATTATGCCAGAATTATCTATGCTTTTATAGTACTATTGTAATAATTAAATAAATTAATTGTTATACCGCTCTCACCACTTGCAGGCGTTTCTGGAGACGTTGTGCGTCATGGTGGTTGTTGACCTGAAAAAAGACATGACAGTTAGTAAGCAAACCTAACCCTTTGCTTCTGTTGTTGTCACCAAACTGTCAGTAATGTGTATAGCCGCCGTTGTCTGAAAGATGTACCAAGGTCACTGCGTTAGTTTGATCATCGATGTAAACTTATAGTTACCACTCTTGCTTTCTTTCTGTTATACAAAACTCACCACTTGTAGGCGTTTCGGAAGTAGATGTTTCCCCTGGTGGTTGTTGACCTGAAACAAATACAGCAGTTAGGAAGTAATCCTGATCCTTTCCTTCTGTTGCTGTCCTGATAACATGTATGGTGTACCCGGCTGACATATAAGGTTCATCTGCATAACACTCTTCAAATATAGGCCTAATATAGATAACGATTTCATCCCATTGTAATTGTAGCCTTCCTGTTTGACTGTTTGTCGTCCTGGTTTATAAAGTTGAATATATTTGACCAGAACACGAACCTCTTCATGGAAAAGAATATCTAACAGGTTTAAATGTCATTTTCACGAGAAATCGGAGACATGAATTCCCGTTTTGCATAAATTTGAACCAGGTATACTTTTAAAGTCATCAATACACCTTGTCAAAAGTATCGCGCCACCCACTTAAAAGTCAAAGTAGAAATATGATTTTCGTTCTTTTTACACTTCACATACATATGTAATATACGACACCATCTGTAAACATAATACCACAGATGTTCCGAGCTGCACGTGCATGCTTGCCTTAAGCTATAAATGCAGTATGCCCTTGTGGTGTATGTTGGCAGACAGCTAAAATTTGATTGTAGGCAGAAATTTGGACGAACCAGTGAAATGTCCAAGCGTCCAGAGCCTCTGAACCAAATATGGCAAAGTATTGGGATGCACCAGACCGGTACGTCATGTCGTGCTGTTGGAGCACAACTGGACATTAATCGTACTGTCATCAGCAGGCTAATACGTAAGTATGCTGCTACCAGTCAAGTGAAGGATGCACCGAGGTCTGGACGGTCCAGAAAAGCAATGACACGGAAGATCGTGCTCTCGTATGCCATGCCAGACGAAGCCCAATGTCTACTTGTACACAGCTGAGACATGGATGGCATCCATACTACAGAGTGTCCATCAGACGACGCTTAAATTCAGCAAGATTGGGTGCAAGACGACCAATCAGACGTTCGCTCCTCACAAATCAACCCCGTTTAGCCTGGTGCCAATCACGTGCTCGCTGGAACCTCAGAAGAAGGATCCACAGGTCCAATGAAAGCCGATCTTTCCTGCATCATACAGACGGAAGGGCACGCATTTGGAGGCAGAGAGGCACAGCATATGATCAGAGGAACATTAAAGCTGAAATTCCATTGGAAGTTGGATCTGCCATGGTGTAGGGGCTTTGTTCCTATATCCGTAAACTTGACCTCATCACAGTTCCTGGGGCACTGAATGGACAGAGGTACCAGAACTTGATCCTGGACGGTGCTGTGGTGCCTCATATCGATAACCTTGCTCTCGCCACACGTCCAGTCTTCATGGACGATAATGCCAGACCAAATGGTGCTCGAGCTGTTGTTCAGCATCTCCAACACAGCGCCATTGAGACACTACCATGGCCAGCCAGAAGTCCAGACATGAATCCTATTGAGTATTTGTAGGACATTGTGGGACGTACGGTGGGAGCAAGGAATCCTCTAGATCTGGTTCAGAACCTTCAGGAATTGACCCATGCATTGCATGATGAGTGGCAGCAGATCTCCCAGCAGAGAATCAGACGTCTGTTGGCCATCATGAGACGGCGTGTAGTAACTGTTATTCAAGTGTGAGGCGGTTACACCAGATACTGAGTTAGCCAGTCATTGTGGACCTTACTAGTGTGTTCAACATATGAACTGTGTTGTGTGTCTGTTGTAACGACCCCGGCAACCGTACTTATCTCACCTTATTTTAAACTTTAGTTTGCTAGAATGAAACCTTCAATTAGTGCTCTGATTCGGTCTTGTTTTGTCAATTTTCTGACTGAACGCTCACAAGTACCAATTTTATGAGGATGTAGATCCAGTCTTACTTAGTGAAAAAAGTGGGTGGTGCGATATTTATGACGAGGTGCATATATTGCAAAAACCGAAACACATATTAACGTTGAAAAAATAACAACAATTGCCTCTTACCAACAACATTAACAGTCTTGTTTGAGCTGTAGTCAGCACTGATGACAGAACACCTTAACTGCCTCCAATTGTCTTGATTCGAGACTGTGTGAATCAGTGTTGACACCCCTGTGTACTGACATTCCACCGACGACGTAGGAGGGTCGTAGGTGATGTTTTGGTCGTTGGGGTACCGTGTCCAGGTGGTGAACTCGGTATCTATAGATCGCCATTCCCATGTCCACAGGTTCTGGAGGTTGTTATCATCAAACTGGTTCCCGATCCTGCCTGCACATCTGAATGAGATGAGCTGACCATCGTCATACTGGAGCCTGTCTGGAGAAGGAAACATCTCTATCTGCTCTGGATAAGCTGTAAAAAGTATATAGACATTGTAGGTCAACACTCCAGAAAGAGGAGAAGAAGAACGACAATATTATCAATAAAGTAACAATTTTAAATACTTCAGATGTAATAGGAACTGTCTAAATGTTTTATAAATATCGAATTGATTTGCATGAATGGCACCTGATTAGATTGTTTAAATTGTAACTAATGCAAGTACATACAAGACACGTCTGCAGAGATAACACTAAATAATGCAGTGAAACAATTTAAATGTAAAATATTTATGTATACACAAACATACAATATAGTGTACATATACACACACACACACATATATGATGTGTGTATGCGTATGTGTGTGTGTGTATCTCAAGGATTCAAAACGTTTCAGATTCAGTCGGAGTAAATATTAACATTACGCACTTCTAGCTGTAATGTTGGTAGTTGTCTCATCCCTTCCAGCTGACCCCGCCAAGTATAACGTTTTGCAGTAGTATGTAGAAGCAGCATCAGCACATCTCAGATCTGTCAGGATGAACTGTATACTGCCAGTTGCTCCACTAATAGAACCCGAGGCTGTCATCCGCTGTTGTAGACTTGTGTCCACTACTTGTACTGACGAAACTGTAGTGGTCATTTGTATTATAGGCTGATCTGACCCAGTAGAAAACTTCTTGCCAATCGATATGGAAAACACCTGTGTAATCCCAGGTGCATTTGGCCTGCAACTTACAGTCAGCTGAGATGTTGGGCTACTGCCCCCGATTGTTATTTGGCTTGGTGATGCGGTTAGGCTTGCCCCAGAGGCTGAAAAACATGTGGTTCAATTCATGTTAATTCAATATAAATGAGGATTGATTGATTCATATAAATATTTGTACCCAATACTATATCTGTGTAAAACATACCAACGGTCATGGTAACACAGTCAGTAGGGTGAACGTCTGAGTGTGTCAAGAAGTATGTTGCCTAACTGTGGAGCGATGGTAAGGGTGTGTGTAGTGTTCATGCCAATGATAATATAGACACAAATACGAAGTATTCCCACATTGTCTTTACTACTATCATTTCAAATATTGTTTAAAATACACACACGTACCTGTACAGGTGAACTCAACCGCCATTAGAAATCCGACCTGCACATTATACTTCCTTGTTGAATGCACACTCTCTGCAAGTGTGTGAGGCGTATTGTACGTACGTTTACAGTTCATTGTTAGAGTCTGATTGAACAGATACACCTACATGATACTGGATCAAAAGTATAAAGGAGAAGTAGGTCATGATTGCAAATGGGGGTACCTGCTCACTGAAACGGAAAAGTTGTGACAACACTGTAATATCTCCAGGTTTAGTGAGAGCAGCTTGAATGTGTTCACAGGTATTCACTGTAATATCCCCAGGTTTAATGAGACCAACTTGAATGTCTTCACAGGTATTCACTGTAATATCCCCAGGTTTAGTGAGACCAACTTGAATGTCTTCACAGGTATTCACTGTAATATCCCCAGGTTTTGTGAGACCAACTTGAATGTCTTCACAGGTATTCACTGTAATATCCCCAGGTTTAGTGAGACCAACTTGAATGTCTTCACAGGTATTCACTGTAATATCCCCAGGTTTAGTGAGACCAACTTGAATGTCTTCACAGGTATTCACTGTAATATCTCCAGGTTTTGTGAGACCAACTTGAATGTCTTCACAGGTATTCACTGTAATATCTCCAGGTTTAGTGAGACCAACTTGAATGTCTTCACAGGTATTCACTGTAATATCTCCAGATTTAGTGAGACCAACATGATCCTCACAGTTTACGTCGCATCACCGTTTTACAAACGTTGAAACTTAACGTTGTGTAATAGTCTATGCGCGACGTTTTGACAACGTATGTATGTCATGTTGAGACGTAACGCCGTTGTATCATGACGTTACCAATGAACAACCTTCCGAGAACGTTGAGAAAACTGTGTGTGTTAGCTCGGGAACCGTCAAAGTCAGCAACATTTTTTTCAACTTTCAACAACGGCCTGTAAAACATCTAACCTAAAGACTAATCCGTACCTTAAAACAGAAAACAGATCCTGTCACTGGGACACATCTAACCACTCAATCCTCTTAAGTCAGAGCTTACACCCAGCATGGGTCGTAGAGAGCATCAAGCTTTTCCTCTCTTAAATCACAGTCAGTAGTTTAACCTTCCTCAGTAGGAAAAGTGTATAACAATGATTTACTTTGACAAACTCTGTTCTTGTGTGTTGATTTCAACAGGTGCTGTCACTATAGCAGGTGTCTGCATGCTGTAATGGTTGAGACAGAATCTGTGTTATGGCTACACGTAAGGACATGTTGAAATTCTCCTCCAACAAACTAACTATTTTTTGGTTGTGATGTCAATTGAGACATATCAGATTTTATTGTTATCAGGTGAAAGTGTTTTATGTACTTATAAAATTATGCAAATAAAAGTATAAAAACGAGAAGGCTGTGGCGAATAAGAGTACTCCCCCTTTGATAGTGAACGTAACCTCAGCAATGTCGCATTCAAACACACTGGGTACACCTAATTACACGCACTCAATAGGTATAGCTCCGGTCGATGGGAGAACATTGAACGCAGACTGGTACACAAGTACAGATCCCCAATGTGCAGAGATCTCCAAAACAATCTTCCGATGACGACAACCACCAAACGATAAAGATGACGTCACACGCTCAAATATTTTATGCTTGCAAGAATTAAAATCATCCACATTTACATGGTAACATCATTGTTTTAGAGTGTTTAATTAATTTTCTGTGATCTTATCTAGTTTGCATTACCACTATTGCCTTGATGACGCGAAGATGTGGCAGAAACGTTTTTGTGGAGTGTCACCTTGAGGATGAGTAGTGATTAGGAAGCCAAATGACGTCACTCATTCATAAACGCTGTGTTGTGTATTATTGCGCAGCTACGATGAGAAAAATATGAAACATGAATCTATTCGACCATAAAATGGTGCGATTTAATGGTGTGTAAGAAACAGATTACTTAACGAGTGTCTGCCAGATGCCATTTATCTTACAATTTTTTGTTTCAAAACGTATTTAAATCGCTTTCGCTGTAAGTCCACATGGTCCCTGACACGATGACGCAGATGACGCATTTGAATAATACTGTGATCAAGAGAAATGTCAAAAAAGAAGGGTGGCTACAGGGTGGCATATTCATTAGACCAGTGGTCATACACAGACTATAAGAGAGATTCTGCATTATTGGCACGGTTAATGAAATTATGTTTCAAGATGTCCATACCGGTAACGCACCTGCTGACCCGTTCCTGACACTGAGTTACATTCCTCAGCTATGGAACAGCCTGTGTATGTATATCTATGGAAGGTTGAAATTACATCTCGAACGTGTAGCGTAATTCTTCATATATTATCTAATATTCCATTACAAGGGATAACTATCTCAAATCATGAACTATGAAGTATCTCTTTAATAATATCAGCTCTCATTAAGTCATAGCATTTTATAAAGAAATAGATTTGTTAAATGATTTGTGAATAGATAAATATTTTATGATTGGATTATCTACTGAGATTGTTAGTGGCAGTATCCTCAAAAGGGGTTAAAGCATTGTAAAATTATTGTCCCCCCTGTCCCCACTTGTTTAATGGTAGAATATGTGTATTTTTAATGTATGACTAGATTTATGTAAATTGCTAAAGGCTGAAGGGATGGTGTAAATCCAGCTAGGGTCCATGCAGTCTCCATGGTCCCTAGTATGGTGATCTACCTTCAGTTGTTGGCAATATATAGCCTGATTTTATGTTGTGTTGTCATTCATAGTTAAACAATTTAGATTTAATTACTAGTTTTGAATTCATTTCTCTGATAATGTAGTTGTTTTATTGTCCTTTGCAGACAGGTAAGTATAATATCTAACTGTGTTTTCATTCATTTATAAATTTACAACTTCCTTAAACACGGTATGGCTGAAATACTGCCGATGTGACTTTAAATTGTAACTCACTCACTCTTATATTATCTTATATCTGCTTGCTCACAAACGAAACTGAAAGAGAGTAGTAACTCTGACATACAAAGCCTTTCACGTGCTGTCCGAGGTCACGTGGCTCACGACTGTAAAAATACTGTCCTTGGGATCTTGATTTCTTTGGCTATGTTCCATCACTCAACCCCATTTACTACTACGCATATTTGCAAATTTTGTTTCAGCAACGATATAAAGATGTATATTTCCAAGAGTGGAGCATTGAATTATCCATATCAAACTCTCTTAAATCTTACACTATGATTAAACAGGACTACTATCCTGATATATATTTATCTATCAATAATGCCGGTCTACGGAGATGCCTGACAAAGTTGCGTTGTAATATGCATGGTTTCAATATGAATTCCTATAGATATTATAAAAAATCAGGCACATCTTGTTCTTATTGTACAAAGCAGATAGAAGATGAACATCATGTTATTATGGTATGCCAAGCTTCAAACGATTTGCGCATCAATAACATTCCAGCCTATTATTATTACCACTCAAGTATGTATAACCCGATCTACCTTTTCACCAATGTTAAGCTATTTAACCTTTGTATTTTCATTGAAATGGTGTTTAAACTAAGAAATAATGTAAATGATATATGTTAAATTCAAATGAATTTTGCTTGTGGCGCAGTATGTATGTTCACTCATATTTTTCACATGTTGTACTGCTTGCCTCATTTGGCCATCTGTACGGAATAAATGATGATGAATGATGATGATAATTGCATATTTCTGTAGTTTCACCCCAAAAGAAAATATCACCTATTTCATTGGTGACATTTGGTGTTCAAGACGTAAATAGCGCGATGATGAAGCTATTGAATACAATGTTACCAAACCGCCCGATATACCATTTGTTACCAAATGACCAGTAGCCACGCCTGCCGACAGAAATATCTTAACAAACAGACAAAGCCATGTACGAACATGTTGGGAACGTTAGTTGATAATAGCTCTCAAGGAAGGCATTGAATGAAATGAAGTGGAATGAATGAATTACGTAATTACGTAACAGAATACTCAAAACAGACACACACACACGCATATATAGATTGTAGGAACATTTTCCCCAGTATATACAAACTATTAACAGTAAGATAGTAAAATATCATGTTACTTCATCAATTTGTTTGAGATATAGAAAGAATGCTAGCATATCATGCTCTTCCATCACCTCTATTTTGACATACAATACAACATCAAGATTATCGATTACAACTGAAAAGAATTCATCTCTCTGTCTCCCTCTCCACTCTATTAAAGTACATACCCACAGTTTAGGATGAAATGGTTATAGTTAACATTGGCAAAGGTGTTACATTGTGTACATTGTTTTGATATTTTGCTTCTGGATCCAGTCCATATTACATACTGCCATTCTTCTCTCAATTCTGGATATAATAATGCCATGCTGTATAACACATGAGGTGAAAGTGCTGTATGGTGTATATAACATCTAGACAGGTCAGCTATGTAATGAAAACCCGTTCACCTGTACAACTGAATATATTTCTCTTACTGTTGAAAATGTACTTAAAGATCAGCATTTACAAAGGTGGCACAGTGACATCAAAAGCAGTTCCAAAGGACTGTATTATCGAGTTCTGAAAGATTCCCCATCACTTGAAAAATACCTCTTATTACCAAAACAAATATCTTATCCTTTACTGTTATTTAGAACAAGTAATCATCATCTCCCAGTTGAAACTGGCCGTTGGAAACTCATCCCGCAAAATGATAGACCCTTCCATCTTTGTAATTCATCCTCAACAGCTGGTGAATTTCATTATCTATTTTAGATGTTCTGCCTTCACTCAAATTAGATCTCATTATTTGGAGCCATATTATTGTATATTGGCTAATTTGTATAAGATGATATCATTGTTCACATCCAACAAACTGTCTATTCTTAAGAAATTATCAAAGTTTATATCTATTATCAACAACCGTGTTTAAGCTACGCAGAAACTAAATTATGCAACGACCTTCCATCAATGCTATCAAATCTATGTGTAATATGTATCTAATGCTCTTGTACCACCATGGGTGGTTAAAAAGAGAAGAAAGATTGATTGATTGATAGATGTTTCATTTACTTCAATCTTTAATTCATTAATTCATTCAATTATGTGTACCGGACGTCAGCGGATGAAGGGCGTCCTTCCATAACTCTAAACATGATATGATAAAATAAGATCATATCATTTTGGAAGTATCATTTGCAAATAGATACATTTGTTTATACAATCATATCGTTTCACTAAGTACATTTCTGCTTATGAAATTAACACATTTTTAAATTTTATAATTTTTGGCTGCAATGAGGCATATCTTTGGACTTGAGAACATTTCTGTTGCAAGTATCGAGAACTGGGGATCCTACTGCATACCCATGATTCGTTAATCCGGACAGTTTCTGAAGGGTAATCGAGGTTTCATTGTATAGCATTTCATTGTATTACACACTCTAATATAACACAGCCACGGTTGAGTGAGTTCATAAACAACTGGCATGAAGGTATCCGCTGTAAAGACAATTACAACTCTGTAAATCCAATTACAGGGAGCTTATAAATACTGGCGTGAACCCATTACTCATTGTCTATACCTCATAGTGCAAGAAAGACACGGAGCGTCACAAGGTAAGATCTCCATCACCGCATCTGTTTGTTATAGAGGGTACGGGTGGCTGGGAGTTCTGCAGTATTGCGTTCCTTATGCTTAAGTGGTGGTGGGGAAGCTCATGGTTAAAGCTTTCGCTCGTCTTGCCAGACCCGGGTATGATTACCCGCATAAATACAATGTGTGAAGCTAAGTTCTGGTGTCCCCCGCCGTCCTGTTACTGGATGATCCCACTAGGGTCTCCTCCGTCAAAAGCACACCATATTCTCCACCATTTCCATTACGAGTTTCATTGTTGCAGTTGACAGAATGAAGATCGCCGTTGTTGGGTTACTGGCGCTGGTGGTGAGCGCTGTCACAGATGGAGCATCGGTCTATAATAACGACGAAGCGGTGAGTGTCGATGCTCAAAGAAACATCCACACTGATCATGTCAAGGAGACTACGTCATTATATTTTTTTACTGTTTACTCCTTTACTAATATATAACTTCCAAAGGTTATTTAAAAAATAACACACACACCCCCCCCCCCCCCACACACACACACACTCATTTCTAATGGCTATGAGTAGATTTGCTTTCATATTTTTTTTTAATGTGAAACTGGTGAGTTTGATGATAATGATTATAGATATGCAATATTAATCTTCCCCAATGACGTACTACAAATGCAGTTTCGCATACATTTCTCTTGAATACGGCCTAAAGGTTATTGACATGAAAGGATGTCTTTAAGTCGGGATTGGCATTTCATTGTGAACTTGATATGAGGACAAGGGTCAAAGTCACAAGGTTACTGACATTAAATTGTGTCTTGCAATTGCATTTCTTTGAGGTCAGATTGCGAAGATCGATGCTCAGTGTGTCAAAAGCGGGATTTAATGTTGCTGAGTGGATATACGGCGTCATACAGCTGAAATATTGATTATCCTGATAAACTTGTTACGCTAAATCACTTATTCTTGCTTACAGACGCGTGAAGATCCGGGGTAGAATAAACTAAACTCACTCACTCACTCACTCTTGCTCACAGTAGTTGAGTTGTGCTACACCGTTGCATTGCCCCAGGTTTGTTTCTGCTGCAGATGTTCGGGGACCGACAGGCGTTGTTAGAGAGCATCCTACAAATGGGTGAGCTAGTTTATACTTGTAGAGTCCTTTCATAAGCACCCCAATAGATCATAGTTTAACATCGGGACATCTTCCGAGCTGTCTAAACGAGGATGTGTGGTTACAAAATCTGATGTGCAAATATAGACATGCAAGTGTTTGCCATTTCTCTTATAGTTGAGATGGTCGAAACATCCGGAAATAGTACGTAAGTATGAGTTTCTTGCCATGTTTTTAATCCAAGTCCTTTTGAATCTAGAAGATAACGTATGAACCGAGTCAGCACTTTCATTTTCCTCTCTGCAAAGCAATAATTGATGGCATTCGAGGAAAGAATTGTATATTCGAAGAACAATTTAATGAATAAATCAAAATATTGCCCTTTCGCACAAAGGATACATGGATTTTGCTATTATTACACATAGTCATGATTTCAAGTTGTCCAAACAATGAAATGCGCCGATAGCAGGTGGGAATTGATTTATTCGAGATGAATGTGAAAATCGGAGGCCATATTTCCTTTTTGGGTTAGGTTTCTTTCGATACCGTTACTCTCATCACAAAGACATAACAAGACATAGACATGATTATGATTAGCAAGCATGGTTCACATATCTCCTCACTACTAGTTCAACAAAATAAGGGTCGATTTGCATACAAAGCGAAACATCATGCAAGGGTTTCATTTGATGATTATCACGATCACCATTTTCAAATCAACAATCTCTTAAACACCACATTCTGCCTGATCTGGATCATATTAGAAATCTGGGAGCTCAGACATGCAGGAATGCAGATGGGTTCCAGCTCAGACATAGATCTGAGTGGCGGTCTCACTTAGGTTTACCTCAGCTATGCGGAGTTCAAGCACAGTCAGACATGATATGAGCTGAACTGCTTGGGAGTTCAAGTTCCCATACATGAGCGTTGGGAAGCTCCACCCTAGAGGTACATGAGCTGGTGGGAGCAGCAGCCCTGAGATATATGAACTGAGCGGAGGTCAAGTTATACAGGAGCTGCGCGGAGTTACAGCTCGGACATACATGAACTGAGCAGCACTGCAGCTCACACGCGTGTGCTCAGCGGAATTCAAATTCACACTTATGAGCTGTGGGGAGATGCATGAGCTGGTCGGAGTTGCAGCTCAGACGTACCTGAACTGAGCGGACCCACAGCTGAGACATACATGAGCTGACTCCCGTTGACAAACGGGAGCCTATCGATGTTCCACTCAGAGATAAATGAACAAATATGCAGCTCAGATTTACGTGGGTTGAGCGTGGTTCCATCTAAAAAATACATGAACTGGACGAAATCGTAGCTCAGAGATACATGAGCATGTGCTCAGGGGAGTTCCCGCTGAGAGATACACCAGCAGAGCTGAGCATACCTTTCAAGTGGCACATACACCTGCGGTCGCCGGCACAAGAGGAGTCGGATATCGTACAATCCGTTTGACATGCAGTTACACATGTTTTTCAGGTCACTCCAGTTACCACGTGCAAGTTTTACAATTATCCAGTATGGGCTAAGGAGCTCCTATTTGTTTGAAATATTGTATGTTCGGGTAAAAATATGCAGTCATGTAATAGATGAGCGTTGAGACGATTTCATATGGTTGGATACACAACAGGTCCTGCAGTAAACACAGGGAGTTGTTAACATGTCTGACCTTTGTGTTTAGGGTGCCATTAAGTCCAGAATTTCTGGAGGCACTGAGACCATAGCCACAGGAAACTAACAAAGTGGAGTAAAACAAAACAATGCATATCCAAGTGAGTACGTTGAAACAAGGATAAAAGTATAAACATTTGAATTACAGATTTGTTGCATAATAAAGGTGTATGACAAAGGAAAGCATGTACAGGATTGTAACTTGCTACAGGATAAGAAAAAAAAAAGCATGCACAGGATTGTAGCTTGACAAAGCATACATAGGACTGTAGCTTGACATACAGGATAGGAACGAAACAAAGCATACACGAGGTTGTAGCTTGACATACAGGATAGGAACAAAACAAAGCATGCACAGGATTGTAGCTTGACATACAGGATAAGAGTGAAACAAATCATACACAGGATTGTGCCTTCATATACATTATAGAAACAAAACAAAGCAGGGGCAAGTTTGTAGCTTGACATACAGGACAAGTAATACACACGCGAGAAAGACACATGACATAATGACATTAGCTAAAAATAGACATATTGTTTAGCATAGTTTGACATTTAGATGAAGAAGAAAATGTTGTGGAAGCTGTAGCTTGACATAAAGATCAGAGCATACAATACATACACTGGATAGTAGCTTGACATACGAACAAAGAAGTACATGCAACGCGTTACTGTTGTCATACAGAATAGTAAACAGAGCACACAGGCTAGTAGTTTCAAGTACAGGATGAGAACAAAACAATTCATAGACGGCTTAGTAGCTTCAAGTTCAGGATAAGATCAAAACGATATACAGTTTATTTTCTTAACAGAAAAACAAGAATAAAACGATGCATACACTGGTAGTAGGTTGGCATTCAAGGTAAGAGTAAAACCATTAACGTTCAAAACAATAAAGGATAGGGCACAGCATACATGATTGGCAGAAGCTTAAAGTACAAAATAAGGTGAGGTGAGGTGACATTGGATTTAACGTCGTGCTTGAGAATATTTCGCTCATATGACGACGTGCATGCTTGTGTCCGGTAGGTGCGGCTGCTTGTACTAGCCCAGACTTAAGCTCGTTTTATAGTGCTAGCTCACTGAGATACCATGCTGCAGTGAAGCATGAATACCCCACTCAGACACAGTATACTGACTCCGAGCCGACCAGTCCTTGTTGTACCCATTAATGCTGAGCGCCAGGCAGGGACCAACAAGTACCATATTTTAACGTCTTTTGGTATGACGCGTTCGGGGATCGAGCCCGCGACCTTCCTCTCTCCGGGCGGACGCTCTAACCACTACACCACGGAGGCGGTCAGTGTACAAAATAAGAATAAAATATAGCGTACATTGATTAGCAGCTTAACGTACAAAAACAAAACAGTGCATACATTGATAGTAGATTGACGTAGAAGATTACAGGGATGACATGCACACACAGGTCACATGGTTGTCATACAGGATAAAATAAAACACTAAACCAACAAAAGAAAAAAGAGAAAGAAAAATGCACAGGTTAGTGCCGCTACCTTCATAACCAGTTATATTCTAGCACATACGGTCTTTGATGTCTACATCTAACAATTTGTAAGTCAAATAAACCATGCCTTTTCAAAGATGATTTCAAAGGACGACAGGCGACTCTTGCCAAATGATTGGTTGGTCAAGGTGAAAGCATGCACCAAACCTTATAAGGTTTATGTAAAGAATTTGTCTATGTGTCTCACGTTGATAAAACAAACAACAATGGTGGTGACAAATTACAAGAACGTAATCTGAGATAAAACTCGCAATCATATCGTTTCATAAAAACCAAAACTATTTAACTTTTAGATGGTAATCTTACCATTCCTTTCACTTTCAAGGTGTGACCTTCTTTACAAAGACTGAGACAGAAACCGAAAAGTTAACTGATTTCCACCCACCAAAACAAATCAATTCAGGACACCACGATTGCAGTCAACGTTACCAGCTCGTGTTACCTATTTCCTTAAATGTCATTCCTCCAAACTATTAAATCAAACTATAGTTCAGAATTGCAAATGAACCATATTTAAAAGGCCTCCCTGAGGCTAAATTCTAAATAAGATGTAATATATTGTACATTAATGCGTTTCGCATTGTTCAGTTATGTTTCTGCTTTGAAGCTTGCTTTAATGAATAAAATTCATTTAGAAGAATCAGTCTTGTTTTTATTATCCTGTGTCCCGGAAAACACAAAAATACTTGCATAATCATAAGAACGCCATAATAAAGAACCCATTGTATTGATCTGCCTATATCATCATCTTGTCTTTATGAATGAATATCGAATGGTGATGACATCATATGAATGCGAAACGATGGGCGTATCCTGGAACAGGTCACAAACACACACACGGGCAAGTTAATTGGCCATCTGACAAACAAATAAGGGAAGTGCTCATGACAAACACACATAAACACAAGTCAAAATAGGGAATTATACTTGCAAAGCAAGAGGACATCCGCTGCAAGTCAAAATAGCATCATTTTAGTCATCATGTTTTGTGACGTCAGATTTTGAAATGTCCCATACATGCACCATAAAGAGGGATGCAACTGGGTGTTTATGAAAAGGTATTCGTTATCTCTCACCTTACTGTACCCGTCACAAGCAAAGGGACGAGAGCAGATTTGAACAACAACGACGTACTACAACACGAAGAACAAGATTTAACACTCATGATGGTGATGTTCAGACGTTTTGACCTTAGGGTTTAAACTTCACACTAAATCACCTGAAATACAGGAAACTAGACGGAACTAAAATGTGTCAGCAAATGTTGGATATAGTTTCCGTTCATAACATGCTTATGAATTATCAATACACACATCGTGATGAAGCTTTGGTCGATCCTCCGAAAAAAAATGTAATGTTAGGTACGGTAATGTAATGTAAGGTAAGGTAAGGTAAGGTAAGGTAAGGTCAGGTAAGGTAAGGTAAGGTAAGGTAAGGTAAGGTAAGGTAAGGTTGAGGGTAAGGTAAGGATAAGGTAAGGTTAGGTAAGGTAGGTAAGGTTGAGGGTAAGGTAAGGTAAGGTAAGGTAAGGTAAGGTAATGTAAGGTAATGTAAGGTAAGGTAAGGTAAGGTAAGGTAAGGTAAGGTAAGGTAATGTAATGTAATGTAATGTAATGTAAGGTAAGGTAAGGTAAGGTAAGGTAAGGTTGAGGGTAAGGTAAGGTTGAGGGTAAGGTAAGGTTGAGGGTAAGGTAAGGTAAGGTAAGGTAAGGTTGAGGGTAAGGTAAGGTAAGGTAAGGTTGAGGGCAAGGTAAGGTAAGGTAAGGTTGAGGGTAAGGTAAGGTAAGGTAAGGTTGAGGGCAAGGTAAGGTAAGGTAAGGTTGAGGGTAAGGTAACGTAAGGTAAGGTAAGGTAAGGTGGGGTTGGGTGGATGGGGTGTGGTAGGGAAAGGTAAGGTTAAACAAGGTAAGGAAAGGTAAGGTAGGGTATTGTAAGGGTATAGGTAAGGTAAGGTGAGGTAAGGTGAGGCATCTTAAGGTAAGGTATAACTTTACTGTCACAAAGGAAATTTATCTTACATCATCAGACGTTCATACAAGGAAATCAAACATCACTATAAACATACATGAAGAAGTACTTCCTATTCCTGAAATATTGTAACGCATGTGATCGGTTAAGTGAGTGTGTAAGTGTGTGAATTTGGTTTTACGTCGCCTTAAGCATTAATCTAGCAATATCTCGCAGAGGTCACCGTGTATCGGTTTCATTCATTTTACCATAGGGGGACATGAACCCGGGCCGTCGGCGGATGCGTGAACCACTTGGCTACCCCTCCTCCCCTGGTCAGTTAAGGAAAAACCTAAAAGTGTACTGTTATATTTTTCAGTTAGAACTAACTTTACCTGAGTTTTTTTACAGTATTCTTTGACACAACATATTTGTCATATATGAAGCTAATGCAAAATATGATAAAATGTACCATATGCAATACATCAACATATAAAAATCAATTTACTTGCATACTTGATGACACCTCTTGCTGTATTGCTGTCAGTCACTTTCCCTTCAGGCGTCTTTTCTACTTATTGTAGTGAGTGAGTGAACTTAGTTCTAGGCCGCCGCCATATAGCTGTAATATTGCTTAGTGCGACGTAAAACTAAACTCATTCACTCACTGAAACTTGAATCTAGATCACTGTGGATCATAGCTCAGAAGATGTAAATTGTCAAAGACATAACTGCTGGAACATTGAGTGAGTGAGTAAGTTTAGTTTTACGCCTCTTTTAGCAATATTCCAGCAATATTACGGCGGGGGACACCAGAAATTGGCTTCACATATTGAACCTATGTTGGGAATCGAACCCAGATTTAACCACTAGGCTATCCCACCCACTCTATCTATCAGAAAGTGGACTAAGTACGTAAAGGGTAATGTCCGAGTAACTCTCCGTTCCTGAAAAATAATGGATCCGAGACACCCGGAGGGTCTGAGGCACATTATTTTTAAGGAATGAATATTTATGAAGATATTACCCTACTTAAATTACATTCAAGTACTGGTAATTTTATAAGCCAAATGTAATGGAAAGAGTACGGACCATCAAGGCCTTACAACTGAAACTGGTACACATCGCTCCATTCCTGAGAAATAGTGGGGAGCAGACAACAGAAGGACGTCACAGATGTAATTTAATGGAGAGTTAAAGTCGTCATTCAGTGTTGTTGAGAGTATGTTTAGGTATTCAATAAACATGAGGGCTATACAGGACGAACCATTTCCAATGTACTCGATAAGACATGACCGTCAGACTGAAATCGTATTAGAACGATACTCTTTGAAAGGCCAAAGATATTCCAAACATACTTGACAAAGAAGAGAAGTTGCGCTCTTTGAAATGTAACATGTTTACTGCCTTACATATGTTAATGCCTTTTATAATAGCGGTTAAACCCGAAACCGTAACTTTTCTTTGGGTCCTGTTTGAATAACTCTGACTACAACGAATACTGACCGTCCTTAATCCTGGTGTGCGTGTTTAAAGGCCCTGAACTATTATAGCGCATGCTTTATAATAATTCAGGAAAAACTGTACTCTATTACACTATACATGTACATGAAATGAATTTCTTTAACTGTATGAACTGTATTTCTTTTGTAAGATGAAACTTTTAAAACACACTGACGAATAATCTAAGGCAGAAATTATTGGTAGAAAAATGATGTTGTCAGTAAACTAACAATCCTCGCTAAGGGCTACCGCTGTTGTGTTGGTGTGTCTACCCCCTACCTGAAGATGCACGTTGCCGAAAGCAAATGATAACAAGAGTCAGGACGCTTTACGTTCAGTTTAAATCATCCTCTCATTATTAGCTCTGCTACATTTGGGATTATGGTTCACCACGTTTGGCAATATGTACGTCTCTTTTTTACTTCTAGTATAAGATTAGATCAAATTCTCAAGATCATGCTTACTTGTCACGTGATATTCCACAGACGCATTGTGCAGATGTCACGACAATTCTTTAAGCCATTAAGCACGTATGTCACCTGTAAATATATGGATACCTACATGAAACCTAAAACAAGTCTTAGCAAGTTGTTTCAAAACTATCAATAGAACAAAAGTACTCAAGCAGTTATCTCTACCGCCATTAGAAGTCCGAACCTAACCGATATACGTCCTTGTTGGATTCTACAGCCTTGTCAGATTTGTGATATTATACCTTTACAATTCTGTTCGGGTTACTGTTAAACTGAGACACGAATATGAAAAGGATAAATGGAATGCTGGTTAAGATTGCATATAAAGCTACTTGCGCAGTGAAGAAGATAGGTTAGGGTTGGGATAATATAGTTGATACTTATTGTCACAGACAGCAATACATTACTTAAGCTTTATCGGTACACTGTTTCTATCCTACAATATGATAATACCATTGCTGTAATAACACCATGTGAAAATTGAAAACACTTGTACAGCAGCAAATCAAACGTCCACTTGTGAACTGTGAGATCTGTGAGAAATGTGAGACATTCTCACCTGTGGTCGCTGATTCACCTACATTCGTTTCCGGATGTCTAATTTTTTGCAAATTCTAGACGCAATATTGGTCCCCCAAAATAAGAAATTGCCGAAATTACAAATCAATTATATGAGATTCATACGACGTAAGCTGAAATTAAAACGATAAATTGGAACTAAACAAAGTAATTTGAAAGTAACTACATATGTAGTTGACACTGTCAAACCACTTTGTGAAATGTTAAACGAGAAACAAAAGAACAGGCCCTCATTTCACAATACACGAAGGTGATCGTAAATCACTAAGGTAACCTTAGTGCAATGTAAAAGAATGGGAGTTATGGTTAACCTTAGTAAAGGTTGCTTCGTGAAAGGAGCCCCAGATTATCTCAGAACACAAGGTTAATCATGACTGTGAAAATTGTCTGTCTTTTGGCTGCAAAATTAAAACGTTAAACTTCGACATGATTTGAAAGTGTGGAACC